ACTAAAGATGTAAAATAATATTTATTACTTAATTAGACGACGATATGCACAGTGGCGGTTCTAGCGTATGGGCAGGGTGGGCAGCTGCCCATACCAAAATTTCTGGTGCCCATTATTTAAAAAATGTTATTTTTATACAAAAATAAGATATTTCATTATTTGATAAATTATAATGATAGTTTACAATTATATTATAATCATTACATTGATGACGAACTTACTAATATATTATCTATGTGATAATGTCGCTGCTAGAGCTTGCAGCTGTTTTAGCGTTGATAGTACTATCTTAGTTCATAATTGGCGGGAGAGAACGACACCAGACGTTCGGAACGGTAGCTATCTTCATAAAAGCATAACGTGATAACAAATTATTACATATTGTGTAGATATAATATGACTATTGTATTGTTTTTTTCTCATTGTGCATTTTCGTTGTTTCTATTAATTTAATATAATGAAGAGATTTTTAAATAATTTTTCCAAACATAAGGCCGAAAAAACAATTGAAGGAGACAAACCAAAATCTCCATCAATCCATACAAATGAATCTACAGCTAGTGAAAACACCAGTGTAAATAGTAGTATTGCTTTTAACCCAGAACCGACCAGACAATTGGTAAAACCTTTAAAAATATTAGACTTAAGTTTAAACTATGATCAACCTCCTGTACAACCAAATATTGTTTATCCTTACAAATCCATAAGTAAAAGTAAACGGTCCTTTAATAGTACTTGGTATAAACAGTATCCATGGATTGAGTACTCAATATAATTTGATCAAATTTTTTGTTATTATTGTAGACATTCTTTATCACCAAGTCAACATTGTAATCCTAATGCTGGTAATCTAACAATTCATGGTTATTCAGACTGGAAACATATAGGCAGTATGGCTAAAGTACATGATAAATGTGACACACACAAATTAGCATTGGCTAAATATAAAGGGTGGTGTAATTCTAAAATACAAGGCAGTGTTACAACTATGATTGACTCACAAATAAGAGTTGAAGTTGCAAAAAATAGGACAATGTTAAAAAGTTTAATAAGGTGTGCCATATATTGTGCTAGGCAAGATATTGGTTTGCGAGGACATTCTGAAACAACTGAAATCTCTGAAATTGTGAATAATGATATTGCAACAGAAAACAAAGGAAATTTTGTAGAGCTTGTAAAGCTATTATGTATTGAAAGTCAAACATGTTGTTCAGCTTATGAAGCGTTACCAAAGAATGCAAAATACACTAGTAAAATAATTCAGAATGATATGATAAGTGCAGCTTCAACAGTGATTGCTCAGTCTATTTTAAAAGAAGTACAAGAAGGTAGTAAAATATTCAGCTTAATTGTTGACGAAGCTAGAGACGATGCAAAGTTAGAGCAAATGAGTATTTGTATTCGGTATGTACATAATTCAGTGGTAAAGGAAAGGTTTTTAGGATTTGTTGAACTCAAAGAATTAAATGCTAATGCCCTAAGCTGTAATATTAAATTATTTTTGAATAATTTTGGACTAGATTTGAGTAACTGTGTAAGTCAGTCTTATGATGGAGCATCAGTTATGTCTGGTCAGTTCAACGGAGTTCAAAAAAAAATTAAAGATATGTCAGGAAATTTGTGTCCATATATACATTGCCATGCACATAAATTGAATTTAGTTTTAGTTGACGTTTCAAGAAAGGTAGAAGAAGTACATGATACTATAGGTCTCTTGGAAGCAGTTTATGCATTTCAGTCATCATCAACACTAAGGTATCAAGTATTTTTTGATAAAACTGGGTCGAAAGTCCCCATGCACTGTGACACACGTTGGGTATCAAAATTTAAAAGTATTCGTTACTTTAAAAACAACTTTACATTAGTATTAACAGCATTAAAAGAGTGCACTGAAAGTTCAAAATCTAAGGAAGCTGCTGAAGCTAAGGGTTTACTAATTCAAATGAATTCTTTAAAAACTATTGTGTTACTTTTTTGTTTGGATTATATTTTGTCTTTAGTAAATATTCTATCATTAAACTTACAGACAACAACACTTGACTATAGCCGTTGTGCAAAATTGATCAAATCCACTATGGAACAATTGATCAATTTAAGGTCAGAAAAAATATTCATCAATATTTACAATGAAGCAGTAAGTGTATTTCAGACTTCGAATATTGAACCTAACGATACACTACGTCCAACAAGAGAACTAAGAATTTCATCAACACTGGATAACTATTTAACTTATTCAACACTTGGTGCTAGTACTAGTAGAAAAGAAAAACAAAACATGTCCTCTAAAGATACAGAAAATGAATTTAAAAGAGTCTTTTTCCAGATTTTAGATAATATGAATAATGAAATGATTTATAGATTTACCCAAAACAATGAAATATTGAATTATATCCATGCAAGTGACCCCAAATCAAGTGAATTTCTAAATTCAGATTTGTTAGTTAAATTAGGTAATATGTATCAACCATATACAACTAATGACTTTATAGAAGTATTGAAGAACCAGTGTCTGATTGGAAAATCTTTATTTTTGGATAATTTAACATTATCTGACCTACATCAACAAATAAGCAACTACGGTGAGACTTTTGACCATGTAAAAAAAATAATTGAATTGGTTATGGCCATTCCTGTGTCTTCAGCTAGTGCAGAACGCAGTTTTTCCACCATGCGCCGTGTTAAGACATATTTAAGATCGACTATGAAGAGTTCACGATTAAGTAGCCTTACACTTTTATCAATTGATTTTGAAAACTCAGATAAATTATTAAAAGATCCAACTGCTGTCCTTGAAGTGTTTGCAAGCATGAAAAACAGAAGAATACAATTTCAAATTTAGCTTACTATTTTTCTTAAAATAAGTTTGAACAGTCTGAACTTTTTTGACAGTTAAATTTAAATAAACATAACTATACATAATTATTTCAAAACTATGGATTACTCTATTATTTTTATATTTAAAACCTTTATTACCTATCTATTATAATTAATATGAATATTTTAAGCTATACACTATAATAATAATACTATAATTTTATTAAAAAAAAATTGTAGGGAAGGGGGAGGAAATAAGAAATATTATTTGCAGTTAAAACCTAATTTTAAATCTACTGTTGCCCATACGAAAATTTAGTCCTAGAACCGCGCCTGGATATGCATGCAATATAATATGTTAGTTGTTAGTATTATACAAATAAAAGGAGCTCCGTCTCTACATTTCAGGAAAATTTGAAATAACATATGTATTTTTAGACCAAATATAAAACCAAATACACCATTCAATTAGTAATGTAATCACAAATGGCCAGAAGAAAAATTCAATACAATCAAACAACTATAGCAAAAGTTATGAGACATTTAAGTCAATAACTAATTTGTCGACTACGTGTCGACAACGGCGTCTGGGGAAATTGTATTTTACGTGACATTGAACGTGTTAAGTACACACTCCGTACTAAGTAACAATTACTTTTTTATTTTTTTTCTGTATAATTCGAAGCCTGAAATCTGTAGTCTTGTATTAATATAAATATTGTAGTTAACGATGGCATTGGTGTGTAGTTGCATGTGTACGCACGCATATATACATATAAATATAAATTAACAACCGTTAAACATAAATCAAATAGTTAAGTAGTTTATGAGTGGGAAGGGGGAAAACTTATCAGGAAGATCAACCCCAAATTCCGATAACGAGTCAGATAATCCAGTAACTCCCCCCTATCCTACTCCTCGTGTAAGTTTACCGATACGATTCTTGAATCCAGAAAATCCAAACTCCGAGCGTTTGATCGGAGATATCAGTACCGATACTATATTCATTAGAACTGGCGTACTAATAGAACATAATACCGAATCGATACAAAACGTCTTCGTAACTTTGGGAGAGGTAGATACTGTTTTAGGGGAAACTATAGACCAAACTAACTTTGGACTAAACTATCGAGAACATCATCATGAATGCGGGAACTCAGGTAAATAATGCAGTACAAAGTGGTTCATCTATAGACAACGTCACATCAGTACAAGATTCATAAAATTCTAACGGAAATACGGAAATATTCTAACATTTATATTGAAAGACACTTTAGACATTAAGAGACAATAGGTATCCTTATTCAATTAAAAATACTACACACTGCAAAACCATTTATATTGATAGACGTATTGACAATAAGAGACATTAAGTGGGTATATTATCCGTATTCACACACTGAACCAATTAAACACACTTTTGACAATAAGATGAGACATTAGGGATTGATCAATTAAGCACATTCGACGCCGTACCGTATTCAAATAAATGACTACTTGGAAATTCGTACGATTTGCCTAATAGCTTCAAGTGTCGCCAACGATGTTACGTTAAACGATGAACACCTAGGCAGGTATTATTAAATGTATTGATAATGGAATATATTTTTATAAATATAAGTCCCTCCGCGTTTTTAGAATCAGTCTATTTTCGACACCCATACCCGTGCACACGAATTTCGCTTTCTACTGATACGTATTTTTTCAGTGTTTATTTTTACCATTATTTTCCACTCTGTGTTTTCCAAGTGTTTAATTTTTATACATTATAATCATGTTTAAATGCGAACAGTGTTCTTCAACGTTCACGCGTAAGGACAATTTGAGAGTTCATGAAAAAAAACATAACGGCATACGATTTAAATGTACTATTTGTCCATCTACATTCAGCTTCAAAACTAACCTCAAAAAACATATGAAGAATATTCATGGTATGTATTTTTATTTTTTTTCACAATCTTATTTATTTTATTTTATTTTAATTTATATTTTTCGAAGGTATGATTAACGTACTCAATCCTATACCCGCTCCAAGAGATTTTGCAGACTTTTGCTCTGATGATGATGACATTTGTATGAATGCAATGGACGATTTTGAAAAAGCTCAAGACTTGGCAGATACTATTACAGGTTAGTCTTATTTATCAGCTATTTTAGATAAGAAACTCTATCTCTCTCTCTGCACTTATTAATTTTAATTACATTTTTTTTATTTTAAAAGATGGTTATATAACTATAGACATTAATGGTAAACGTATTTCCACCGCAAACACTATGTCAGCGTCTAGAAATAAGAAGGCACGCATGAGCCTAGTGCAATCCCCCGGTTTCGTTGAGATTTCATCCTCAAAAAATAGGAAAATAGTTTGGCACTATGCCAAAAATACCGATAATGTACAGAACTATCAAGAATTTCTCCACTTTCTCGAGCCTGAGCTGAAAAAATTATTGAAAACACGCGTTCAGGAAGGGCCGATAAAATTTAATTTAAAACTCGAGGCGACCTACAATCGTCCACATGTAGAAAATTCCTCAGAAAATCGTGCTTTCAAAACATCTGCTGTTGAATTGTTTAGAGAGTCGGATATATCAACAATTCTTGGGAAATCTTTTACAAAATTATTGATGGAAGAGGAGACTTATACAAGTAGAGGGAGTGGGTTCACGTTACAAACTATAGACGGATTATTATTGGCAGTTTATAAATAAAAAAAAATGTGCGGTTCATCGTATATATCGTTGCCAGCATTTATAGACAGAAAACGAGCCACAATAAATCCCCAAAACGTGGACCAACAGTGTTTTAAGTGGGCGATTCTTGCGAGGCATGTGACAGAGCAACCTGTATGTCGTGTTGGTAAAAACTATACACAACACGAAGGAAAATATAATTTTGAAGGTATCTCATACCCAACACAGCTATCTGATATAACTAAATTTGAAAAAAATAATCAAAACGTATCTGTTAATGTGTACGGACTGGACAAAAAAATTACAACCACCACGAAAGTACCCGACGTATGAGGTATACCCATTACGCATTGCAGATACCGAGAAACCAAACCATTTCGACTTGCTGTTGGTGACGGATGATAGCGGGTCACATTATGTATGTGAAGAAAGCAAAGGCGAGAATACATTGGCTTTTCAAAAACATTCCCCAATGAGTTACGATTTCGTTGTAAAAGCTAAAGACGACGTGCCAATTGAACTGCTTGAAACGTTTGGGATACCTACAACACCAGTTATTTTCCGTGGTAGTGAACATAATCAGGAGGTAGCGAAACATTTTGTATTAAGTATTGTTGAAATTGCAGAAAAAATAGACAAACTGCTCAAAACCAATACACCAATCATAATGACACCGGAACAGCGACGCACACATGAATTATGTAAAGCATGTAATTTATGTAAAAATAGGTTTTCTGTGGAAAACCATAAAGTAGCAGATCACTGCCACTTATCCGGACAATTCCGTCAAACATTATGTAATACTTGTAACCTCAAGCTTCAAACGCCTAATTTTGTACCATGCTTTTTACATAATTTATCCAATTACGATGCTCATTTCATCGTAACCGAGCTGGGATATGACACTAAGACAATTTCAGTCATTCCAAATACCGAAGAAAAATATATATCATTTTTAAAGCATGTAAGCAACAATTTTTCAATACGATTCATTGACACATTCAGATTTCTGGCTTCAAGCTTGTCGACTCTGGCCTCAAATTTAATTACTCCTGGTTTCGAAAAATTCAGAGAAATTTCTAAAGTTTTTAAATCTGAAGATATGCATTTTGTTACCCGTAAAGGGGTGTACCCGTATGAGTATACGGATGGGTGGAACAGGTTAGAAGAATCATGTTTACCGGAGAAAAAAGATTTCTACAGTACACTCACAGAGTCAAATATTGAAAACGAAGACGCCATAGGGAAAACGATTTTTTCGTATAATTATTCACCAAAAATATCGTATTTAACGTCACCTTGGAACAATAAATACGCTGGAATTTTCAATAACGATTCACCTACATTGCAATCCTTTGGAATTGCAAGTATGACGTCCGGAGAAGTTAATCGGGTTACAATTTTAAACGCTGAAAAAAATACAGAAAAACATCAAAGTGTCGAAATGACACAATTGAATACTGCTAATTTTCAACGTATATTTCATAATAAAAATCGCATGTATCAGCCAATTGAAATGTCACAATATGTACAGCGAGGTATAAATAAAAGTCAAGGAGATGGCCTACAACCTAGTTTACATATAGGTATATACCCTGTACATAAAATGACAACTACGTCGAATACTGTTGTACCTCAAGATTATACTGACGTCGAATGTACATGGGACATATCTACTGAAATGGAAATTGGATTCGGGTTTCCAAATCATTTTACTCAGTTCGACGAACCTCATGTTTTACCAGAAAATACACTATACACCTTTAATACTACGGACGATTATTATTATCATGAATCATTGTCTAGTTTTGATAATCGCTTTATTACACCAATTAATGCAACAGCAACGACGGCGGCGACCGGCCGTCGATAGTTTTTTTTTAATTATGTAACTATATACTTTTTTTTATGTACCTAATAAATATTTGGTAAATAATTAACTTTTGTGTAATGTAATAATAATATAATGTTTTTATTTATAATAAACATGGTAATAAAAAGTGTTTGTTCATTTATATATCATATAACAAATATATATATAATAGATATCAAATTACAAGGTACAATATGTAAAAAAAAAAAAGATAAACATTCAATTACACTATTAAACTAATAACCCCAATTAAAAAAAAAATATATATTATACGACAACAATATTATCGGACACAATTCCCCAAGTTACTAATAATTTAAAAAAAAACAATGGATTTATTTTCTTCTTATAATGTTTTAAAAACGGAGCAGATTGCCACCTATACGTACGTAGACGGTCGGCAAACAATTTATCATTACTTATGAATAAATAATTATTTGTTAATAAAATGATAGGTGGGCCTTGAAGCGGTTGATCATTTTTATATTTTACGTGCACACGAGTTGTATCACCACCCAATAATTCTTTCATTTTTTCAATATGATGAGTTTCGTAATTAGGTTCATTCCAAATAACAATTCTTTTTCCTGCACCGTCAGCCCATGTAAAATTATTATTTTTATTCGCGGTACCGAACATACCATAATTTTAAAAAAAAGAAGCTACTGCATCAAAAAAAAAGTTTTTACCCGCTGACGGTTCGCTATATATGCACAATGAATTTAATTTTGGAATTTTTTTATCGATTATATTATAAAGTACTGTTAAAAATGATTTAATTTCGTTTTCGTCATTGTTAAATTGATAAAATAATAATTTATTCGCTATTTCTATTGATTTTTCTACATCGTAGTATAAATTATTCGTCATTCGTGCATAAGCATTAAAATATGGTTTTACGCCGGATGTATGATAATAAGTATTAAAGTCGAATATATCCCAGTCCCGAATAGTTGTACACCAATTACGTAATGTTACTTTAACTTTTTTATCGTTTTCGTCTAATCTATTTAGGGCCGGGTTTTGATAAAATTCTTTTATATTTATAAATGCGTCGGGTGGACAGGTCGGATAATATTTTAATAAGTCACTTAAATTTACTGGAAATTGTTCGTACTGGTGCACTCCGTTTTGCGATTTGGTTGCGACGACACGTCCGCCAATATGCCCCCGGCTACCCGCATTGCCTCTGCGTAATGCGGACTTCTTTCCGAAAATGTACCCAGCGCCCTCGTCGAGGCATGTTTCCACCAATCTTTCTTTTGAACATACTGTATTTTGTTCTTGCTATAAAAATAATATTCATTAAAATACATTTAAAATAAATAAATAAAAAATATTAACTTACGGAAAGATTTCTAATTTCACTACATAGTCTTTCATCGGCACCTGGGATGTGCACTTCTTTTGCGTTGTGCCCGTTTGTACAAAAATATCCAATAATGTTGGCCCAGTCATCACTTGTGAGGTCGCACGCAAAAATGCGTCTTCGAAAGAGTTTGCGTCTATAGCTTCGGAAATCTGAATTTCGCTGGAGCCAGGCGCAACGGCAAGCGTTGTTTGCCTGCTTACAGGCGTGGGCGACATGGAAGTGATCGTCATGTTCGCTGACAATGACGAATGTGACGATGCTGAACTTGAGGTATTTAGCGATGTTTTCAACGATTCAAAGATTTCCATCGCATCTAGGTGGCACAATGACATCTGAGACGTACACGACGTTTCCTTCCCAATTGTAATCACTGAGGAGATCGGCAGCTCCTCGTATGTAGTTTTTATTGACTGTCGTAAGTTCGTCAACATTTCGGAGAACATCGGCTTCATTTCTTTGTAGTCGGACGTTATCATCTCTTGCATTGCTATCGCCATGTCCGGTAAAGAGAATATCCATCTCTTCGGGTGTAGCCTATAAAAATTAAAATATTTATTTTTAAATTTATTTTAATTTTTATTTTAATTTATACATACGTTACATGCAGGTCCGTTGTTGAAAATGTTCCCACCATCAAAATTATTATATTCATCGGGTACATGAGTGGAGTGTCTGTCTCCTCCGTCAGGTTGTAAATCGTTTTCATTAACTCGAAAAAAATCGCCGAATCCCGGAGATTTTTCCCTAGATTCATTTTCGTCCAATTGAGCAAACGAATGAAAGGAAGGGCCATAATCTCTTTCAAGCGGCGATCCCTCTTGTCCTGATTCGTTGTCGTCGCTGTCACCGAATTCTTTTTCTGTGTATCTTCTTGGACTGCTGCAGCTGTATTCGTTTTCTGTTTCTTCGTACAACGGAGTTCCAAATTTTGTTGTGATTGTGCCATGTTCCTCTTTATACCCACCTTCGCTGTCGGAGTCGAGGATGCTTTCTGTTCCGACAGTGCTTTTTCGGTTTGTTCTAAAAAATCTACTATTGCAGTGGTTGGTTTGAACATTTGCGAGCATTCCAATTCTTCTACAAAGCAACCGGATTCAAAATCGCTATTATGTTGCATTATTAATTTGTAAAGAAAATTAACAACTAGTTAATCGCGAAAATACGAGACAAAAAAAAATTATTAAGCACGTCGTCGTAGTTAGACTTTTGTAGAACTAATAAAGTAATGACAAATTCCATAGAGTATTTATAATATGCTTTATGTAAGGTAATCATTATTCTATGTACACATAATATGATATCTATTGTTTTTTGTTTAATTTGAATAATTTAAACACCTATATTACGTAATTAACTATATATATCATATATATATGTTATATATATAACACGGCGATGTATATAGGCAATCTGCTAACCTTTACACTTTGTAATTAATATATAATATGTATGTGTGCTATGGCGGGGAAATTCGTGGCTAGGTACTTGCTCGAAATATATTTACAATATATTTCCGAAGACTACTACTACGACGACAGGGGGGGTACCCACCCATCCTCAACCGCATCATACGCCGGCCGCATGTAACGTATGTATAAATTAAAATAAAAATTAAAATAAATTTAAAAATAAATATTTTAATTTTTATAGGCTACACCCGAAGAGATGGATATTCTCTTTACCGGACATGGCGATAGCAATGCAAGAGATGATAACGTCCGACTACAAAGAAATGAAGCCGATGTTCTCCGAAATGTTGACGAACTTACGACA